CCCAGCCCTCTAGGATTTGTCTGAAATGTGTGGCTTCTTCAACACTAGGAACTCAACTTCTGTCTCTAGTAGGCAACCTCGGGCAACAGCAATAGTGAGAAACAGTAGAATGATACTTGTAAAAAAAATACATCTCTCAAACTAAAATTTATTTATTTTTTTTTTTTTTTTTTTTTAATTTTATTTTTCTATCATCAGCTTGATACAGTACAAATTCTTATCCTAATAGTGAAATGTTTCATCAAGGCTTGCCCAGTGATTGAGTAAAACCAAAACTTATTATAAGCCACAGTCATCCTAGGGTCCCCCCTGCTGTGTAGCCTCTCTGGTTCTGTGGGTTGCAGTCTTATTGTCCTTTGCTTTATATCTAGTGTCCACTTATGAGTGAGTACATACCATGTTTGTCCTTCTAAGTCTGGGTTACCTCACTCAGGATGATATTTTCTAGTTCTATCCATTTGCCTGCAAATTTCAGGCTGCCATTGTTTTTCTCTGCTGAGTAGTACTCCATTGTGTATATGTACCCATTTTCTTAATCCATTCTTCACTTGACAGGCATCTAGGTTGTTTCCAGGTTCTGGCTATTACGAATAATGCTGCTATGAACATAGTTGAGCATGTATCTTTGTGGTATGATTGAACATTCCTTGGGTATATGCCCAAGAGTAGTATGGCTGGGTCTTGCAGTAGATCAATTCCCAATTTTCTGAGAAACCATCACACTGATTTCCACAGTGGTTGTACAAGTTTGCACTCCCACCAACAGTGGAGGACTGTTCCCTGTGCTCTGCATCCTCTCTAACATAGACTGTCATTAGTGTTTTGATCATAACCATTCTGAGAGGAGTAAGGTGCAAACCAGGCTTCTTACACCTGGTGTTGATCATTTTGTTAGAAATTCTATGGCTCTTGTGAGGAGCATCATCAGTCCATTTGGGAGATTTTCATTTATACTCCAAATGTGTAAGCTTACAGAGACTTAGATGTATTATAGGCGTTTTTTGTTGTTGTTGTTTTTTGTTTGTTTGTTTGTTTTATGGATGATAATAGTCAAAGAATAGATGGTTACTACTGTAGATGTAACCAACCATCTTATTAAATAAGAAACACAGAACCAATGTAAAAGAGAAAGCCAAGAGGTTAGAGCTCAGAGCTAAAATCTTACCCTTCCTCCTGTGGTGGTCCTAGCTCTCCGAAAGAGAGCTATTTCCTGTCTGTCTATCTTTAAATAATCTTTCTGTTCTGCCTTCTCATTGGTTGTAAACCCAAACACATGACTGCCTTTTCACTGCCTGTAAGTACAGCCCTCTAGGTCTTAAAGGCATATGTCTCCAATGCTGGCTGTATCCCTGAACACACAGAGATCTATGGGATTAAAGGCGTGTGCCACCACCGCCACGCTCTTTCTATGGCTCTAATAGCTCTGATCCCCGGGCAACTTTATTTATTAACATACAATCAAAATCACATTTCAGTACAATTAGAATACCACCACATACTACAGTCATCCTGGTTGTGTACTCACATCTGAAGGTTTGGAGCTAAGCACTTCCTATGAGAGAACATGGAATGTCTATCTTTCTAGGTCCAGGTTACCTGATTCAATATGGTCTTCCCTAGGTCCATCCATTTACTTGGAAAGCTCATTATTTCAATTTCTTTACATGAATAGTATTCCATACTGTGTATGTACCACACTTTCATTATCCAATTGTCAGATGAAGAACATTTAGGTTGTTTCCATTTTGTAGGTGGTGTTAGTAGAGCAACAATGAACATGGCTGAGCAAGTATCTGTGGAGTAGGATATCAAGTCCTTTAGGCATATACCAAGGAAAGGAACAGCTGAGTCATGTGCTGAATTTATTTAATTTGAGATTTTGTTTATTTAAATGAGGATTCTCTATTTTTATTTTTAGTGTGGCTAAGTGTTTTTTGGCATTTTTATTTGCTATGGTTTCATTTTTATGTTGTTGCTGGTTGGACTATTGGTACTATTTTTCTTCCCTCTTTTTGAGAAATAGTGGTTTGCTGTCTTACCCATAGATGATTACTTCACAGTTCTCCTGTATTTCTCTATTCTTTATTTGAAATTTATTTTCTCCCATGTGCTCATGAATGATTCCTCTGACTCTCCTGGATATATTTTGCCTCTAATTTATTATCTGCAGGGCTGTTTTTAGTGAAATGAAATGTGTTAATTGGTGACTATCTTGAAATTAACTTACGTCTCCTTCAATTTTAATAGTTTTCTTGTGCACCAAGTTCCTTGATGGTGATTTTCTCCTCAAGCTTCAAATGTCTTTCCATGCTCTCCTGGCTTTGTAATCATTGATTCGACACCTGATAGAATTCTGTTTCTTCGGTCTTTTATGTGGTTGGACATTGTTCTCTAACAGCTTTCTGTATTAATGTTAACTTTTTTGTTTTGACCCCTTGATTTAAGAGGGAAGTGACCATCTATTCATTGTTCCTGAAAGAGAAAGCCAAAGAAGAGAAACAGTTAGAAATGGTTGATTCTCCAGTAATCACGTTTCAGGTCAGTGGTCCTTTTCACTCTTTATCTAAAAGCGTTATACATTGATGTATTAAAAGTCTTTAATTTTCTGCTTCTGATACTTTCTGAAATTTTATTATGAGGAATTCTGCAAACAGAGAATCAACAAAATCACACACTGAAATTAAGCAGACCCAAAGACTACACTAGTCATTGTACTTTCTTTCTTTTTCTTTTCTTTTTCTTTTTTTGTTTTTTAGAGACAGTGTTTCTCTGTGTAGTTTTGGTGCCTGTCCTGGATCTCACTATGTAGACCAGGTTAGCCTTGAACTCACAGAGATCTGCTTGCCTCTGCCTCCCCAGTGCTGGGATTAAAGGTGTGCACCACCAGCGCCCGGCCTTATTGTACTTTTATAGTTAGAGTCATCATAGGGAACAGAAGTTCTGGAGCCTCACATAGGATTTTATATTTTCACAATCAAATATATTTTGATTTTTTTATTCACCACCAAAACCCCAAAAACTTTTCATAGAATTAGAACTTGAAAAGCACTTAACTTTATATCCTTCACAACTGTTGTTCATTACCTTCATTCAGTCGCTTATATACATTGTTTCTGTGTACATATACCATTGGGTAGATTCTGCGGATGAGCAAAAACGTGTTGTCTTCTTTATAAAAGTGTATGACCACACTTTGGTCATTTCATTTTCCTGCAAATTTTTTATTTTATTTTATTTTTTCTATAGCTGAATTTTCCTCCATTTTATACAATTTTCATTATCCATTCATCTGTTTATAGATTATTAGTTTGATTCCAATAGCTTTCCTTTGGTGATTAAAACAACAGTAAGTATGAGGTATAAATATCTCTGTAGTGGGGTGTATTGTTCTCTGGGTATATGGCCAGGAGTAAAAGAACTGGGTCATATGTAACTTCTCTCTTCAATTTTTTCGATAATCTCCAAACTGATTCCCACTATGGCTGTATTAATTTGCACCCTCCCTTCCTTCAACAGTGCATAAGTTTTCCTTTCTCTCCATATCCCCTCAAACATTTGTTGTCAGGTTAGTTGATGACAGCCATTCTGTTTGGGATGAGGCAGTATTTCTTAGAAGTTTTAATTTGTGCTCCCATGGTGGTCTTTCTGGGATCCTGAATGCTTTGCAATGTTTGTTTGCCATTTGAGTTTCTGTCTTTGAAAAGTGTGTATTTGGTTCACTTGCCCATTTGTTGATTTGCAGTTTTATTTCCTTGGTATTTAATTAATTTAATTTTGGTAAATTCTTGCTATGAGCCTTATCTAAAATGTCACTGTTATAGATTCTCTTAGCTATACTTTAATATTTTCTTTTATTTGTTTTTGGGCTTCCCTCAATTTTTATTACTCATTGGGAGTGAAGTGAAATACTATTCCAAACTTCTGAAATTGTTATTTGTCTCTGTTGGCTTAGGCATACAGAGACATTCCTTGGGAAAATTTGGATTATATCAAATATGGCTGATACAGATTTTTCTGTCTGTTCATAGTAGCCCAAAAATTTCCTTAAAATTTTTCCATAGACTACTTATCTTAGATGTTAAAGTTTAAATGACAGTATGTATTGCTGTTACAATCCTTGCCACTGTGGAAAAAAACAAAACTCTTTAGCTACAACTTTAGTCATATATTCTGTCTTCTAAACCTATACCTTTGCTGTTTAATGGATGGCATTGTACCTAGACTTTAAACATCCAAATTGACGCTGTTAGAATAGAGTCACGTAAGGCCCAGTTCACACATGATTTATTTGCATCAGTATTTTAGCATGATCTACAGGTACAACATTTAAAGCACATTTCCTCATCATGAATTTTCCCTCTGAGACATATCTGCTATGATCCTGTGTAACATAAACACAGAATCCACAACAGATAGATAACCATGTCTAGACCTTAAATGTATTTCTTGTTTCATGTATACTGCTTATAAGACTATAGTCTCAACCTGTTTTTACAGAGTTAGAACATTCATGATAGAATGTGACCGTATTAGAAATCTTCTCTTTGAGTAATTATCTTTGCTCATCTATATTCCATCTCATTATATCTAGGAAAGCACTTCCAAGTAGCCTGTGGTCAAACCATACTTTTTTGTTTCAGGGTCTGTTGACATTCAGGGATGTAGCTGTGGACTTTCCCCAGGAGGAGTGGGAATGCCTGGACTCTGCTCAGAGGGCTTTGTACATTGATGTGATGTTGGAGAATTACAACAACCTGGTCTTTGTGGGTGAGAACATTTTGCTTGTAGAATTCCTAACCCATCATTGTTTATTCAGATGTCATAGAATGTAAAATCTGTTAAGCTGTTTTGAAAAACCAACAGGAGATAAGGCAAAGTTTAGTAATGAGAAAGAACTTTTTCATGCTATT